GCCGTCACATATATAATTTGGTATCGTTCTGTTTTTCATATACATGTTTGCATTAGTTTTTTGGTTCCTCATTATAAAGAAATCTCCGAGGATGGAACAAGTTTTAACTGGGCTGGTACGGATTAACATGCCTGTGGTAGTTGAACTATTTTGTTTAAGAATTTGTCTGATCATTGGAATGTTTTGGGCCATTCCAGGTGTATCGATTATACAAATCGATCAGTAATCTTCAAAAAAAAAAAAAAAAAGTTTTAAAAGCCATCTTTGATCCATAAGCTCAAAAGGATTTTTGATAGAAGTTTCTTTTTTTTTTTTGAGATGGAATTTTACGTACCCAAGCGATTCAAGTGGCGCGATCTGTCGGCTCATTGTAACCTCTACCTCCCAGAGTTCAAGGCATTCTCTGTCCTGGCGCGGTGGCGAGAGATATAAAGCATGCCAGCATGGCCCAGCTGAATTTGGTTATTTCATTTTAGTAGAGATGGGGTTTCGATGGATGTGGCCAGGTTGGTGTCGAACTCCTTACGCTCAGGGTGAATCCACCTGCTCAGGCCTCCAATGAGTGCTGGAACCAGGCAGAGCCACTACGCCCAGCCTTGATAGAAATTTATTTTGGCCGGCGCGCGGTGCCTCAAGCCTGTAATCCTCGCACTTTGAGCGAGGCGGAGACGGCGGATCACGAGGTCAGGAGATCGAGGACCATCCCTGGCTTAAACACGTGAAACGCGTCTTCTACTAAAATGACAAAAAAGACCAGCTGGCGAGGTGGGACGGGCGCCTGTAGTCCAAGCTATTGGGGGAGACTGAGCAGAGAGAATGCGAATACCCGGGAGGCGAGCTTGCATGACTGAGATCCGCCACGCACTCCAGCCGGCTACAGAGCAAGACTCCGTCTCAAAAGAAAAAAAAAAAAAAAATAAAGAAATTTATTTCTAAATGCGATTTGTTTTTCATAATGACTTGACAACAGGTTATGTTTTTAATATCCTATTCCTCAAGTGTATGGCCAAGTTTCTGGACAGAGTATAAGTAAACAAACAAGTAAAATAGGCCGGGCGCGGTGGGCTCAAGCCCTGTAATCCCAGCACTGTTGTGAGCACGAGACGGGCGGATCACGAGGTCAGGAGACCTCGGAGAGCCACCTGGCATAACTCCGTGAAACCCCTCTCTACTAAAAAATACAAAAAAACTAGCCGGCGAGGTGGCGGCGCCTGTAGTCCAGCTGCTCAGGGAGGGCTGAGCGCAGGACGAATGGCGTAAACTGGGAGGCGGGAAGCTTGCGGTGAGCTGAGTCGGCCAGTGCACTACAGCTGGCGGACAGAGCGAGACTCGTCTTCAAAAAAAAAAAAAAAAAAAAAGAAGTAAAATATTTACTGTTTCCGGAGATTTTTTTAACAATGATTTTCTTCTGTGACATGTAACTGCTATGCACCATTTCTAATAAGAACACAATAAGATCATTTGAGAGGAAAAGAATACTCAATTCCATGACAAGTTAAGGGTGTACTGTTTTTTTTTTTTTTTTTGGACAGGGCTACTTTGGGTCACGCCCAGCGGCTGGGAGTGCAGTGGTGGCCCAATCACAGTCACTTACGAAGCTCTGCCCCTGGGGGACTCAAGTGATTTCCCGCCTCAGCCTTCCCAACGGTGAGGCTGAGGACAAGGTGGCGCACCACCCACCCAGGTATTATTTTTTGTGTTTTCAGTAGAGGACAAGTGTGTCACCATGTTGGGCCGAAGCTGGTCTCAACTCCTCGAGGCTTCAAGCAATCTCCCCCCTTGTTGGCTTCCCAAAGTGCCGGGATTACAGGTGTGAGCCACTGTGCCCAGCTGTTTTTTTTTTTTTTTCCTGGGGTTTCACTCTGTCACCCAGAATGGAGTGTGGTAGTGTGATTATAGCTCACTGCAGCCACAAACTCTTGAGCTCCAACAATCCTCCCATGTCAGCCTAAGGAGTGGCTGGGACTAAAGGTATGCACCACCATGACTGGCTTGATTTGTGTTTTATCACCACCTCACATCAAAAAGCGCAATGTTAGGCACAAAATGTATCCTAAAAATATGCCTGTTTAGCACAAAAAGTGTTCATTGTGCTTAAATACATGATCAAATAAATAAATTTAACTGTTTACCAAATATCAAATACACTTAAAAAAGAAGACTCACCTAGCCAGGCGCAGTGGCTCATGCCTGTAATCCCAGCACTTTGGGAGGCCGAGGCAAGCTGATCACCTGAAGTGGAGAGTTCAAGACCAGTCTGACCCATGGAGAAACCCCATCTCTACTGAAAATACAGAATTAGCCAGGCGTGGTGGCACATGCCTATAATTCCAGCTACTAGGGAGGCTGAAGCAGGAGAATCGCTTGAACCTGGGAGGCGGGGGTTGCGGTGAGCCAAGATCGTGCCATTGCCTGGACAACAAGGGCGAAACTTCGTCTCAAAAAAAAAAAAAAAAAAAAAAAAAAAAAAAAAGAATATGCACAACAGTCCAACTTTACAAAAAAAAAAGTGCCTTTGTTGCAGGGTAATCTAAAAGTGAAGAAACGCAGACACACAAAAAAGAAAAAAAGGAAAAATATTATAAAGAAGCACTTGCTATCTTTAATAATTTCTTATTAATCAGAAGCATGATTTCCACCATGGATGCCCTAAAGGAGTACCATGCAATGCGGTGAACACAATTCTTATAATCAACACAGTAACTTTTTTCCTTTTTTGTCCTACAAAAAGGACAACAGCATTTTTGGGAAGGATAGATTTTCAAATATCCAGAGAGGAGAATAATCTGTAGTATCATCCAGATGATCCTCCATTATTGTTTTACCCCCAGAGACCCACATTAGAATACAAAGTTACATCCATAAGGAATACTAAACTGAAGTCCCAACACTTGGATTTATAATACTTTCCACTTAACTACATAATAGATACCTATGTTTGGGTGTGCATTCTCATCGTTTAAAAAGCATTAAACAAAGTATGAATTATAGTTTAGTCCTGTTGACTCCAAAGTAATCTCTCCTTCCTCTAAACTCCAGGTACCTTACACTTTTTACTATTTTTTTGGTTTTGGTTTGAGATGGAGTCTTGCTCAGTCACCCAGGCTGGAATGCAGCTGTGCAATCTCGGCTCACTGCAACCTCTGCCTCCTGGGTTCAAGTGATTCTCCTGCCTCAGCCTCCCACCTCCTGAGTAACTGGGACTACAGGTGCTCACCACCATGCCTGGCTAATTTTTGTATTTTTAGTAGAGACCGGGTTTCACCATATTGGCCAGGCTGGTCTCAAACTCTTGACCCTGTGATCCGCCCACCTCGGCCTCCCAAAGTGCTAGGATTACAGGTATGATACACTGTGCCTCACTCACTTTCTACTATTTTTATTTATTTATTTATTTGAGACGGAGTTTTGCTCTTATTGCCCAGGCTACAGTGCAATGGCGCAATCTCGGCTCACCACAACCTCTGCCTCCCAGGTTCAAGCAATTCTCCTGCCTCAGCCTCCCGAGGAGCTGGGATTACGGGCATGAGCCACCATGCGGGCTAATTTTGCATTTTTAGTAGAGACAGGGTTTCTCCATGTTGGTCAGGATGGTCTCGAACTCCTGACCTCAGGTGATTCGCCCCTCAGCCTCCCTAAGCACTGGGATTACAGGTGTGAGCCACCACACCCAGCCCCATCTTTTACTTTTTAAACAGCACATCTAACCCTCCATCAAGGTCTTGCAGTGTGAACAGCAGTGCTCAATTAGTACTCAATGACTCAACTCTTTACCATTTTATCCATTCCTTTTGGTCCAAGGCTTGTTCTAATAGCATCAGCAACCGCTGCAGATGGAAAAAAGAAAGAAAAGAAAAGAAATTAGAACTTTTTTTTTAAGAGACAGGGTCTTACTATATTGCCCAGGGTGGCCTCAAACTCCTTGGCTCAAGCAACCCTCCCACCTCAGCCTCCCAGAATAGCTGGAGGTACGGGAAATCAAGACTCCTTAAAGAGAGGTTTTTCCTCGCAAATGATCATTGTGTTCTTATTAGGATATGGTGCATAACAAATCACGGTGTCCATAGAAGAAAATTCATTGTCTAAAAATAATCTATTGGAAACAGAGTAATTAAAATAATTATTTTAAACGTATGATGCTTCACTTTTTTGTTAGTCAACGTACACATTATTATTATTTTGAGACAGGGTCTCACTCTGTCTGTCACAAGGCTAGAGTGCAGTGGTGCGATCTCAGCTCACTGCAACCTCCGCCTCTTGAGTTCAAGTGATTCTCCTGCCTCAGCCTCTCGAGTAGCTGCCACCACGCCCAGCTATTTTTTTGTATTTTTAGTAGAGACGGGGTTTCACTATGTTGGCCAGGATGGTCTCGATCTTTTGACCTCCATCTGCCTGCCTCGGCCTCCCAAAATGCTGGGATTACAGGTGTGAGCTACCGCGCCTGGCCTAATATTTGTAATCAGCTTATGGCAGAATACATTTTGAGGATTCATCTCATCTTCCTTCAGATGTCAAAATGGTACAATCTAGTTAGGAGCTCTGAGAATTGCTATTTCCTCCATTCCTTAAAACACAGCAAGCAGCAACAGAACTGTCTAGATCTAACATACTGATGGATGAGTATCCTTTTTCCAAAATGATTAGGACCAGAAGCGTGTTGAATTTTAGAGTATTTCAAATTAGGAATGCTCAATTTATATATAATTCACTTATTTGTTTACTCTGTCTAGTGTGTAATCTCTGAGAGTAAAGACATTTGTTCACTAATGTGAACATGGTATATAGGTGGCCTACAGCAAAAATTAACACTAACACCACCAAAAGGGCAAAACAAACCACAATGGAAATGCTATAGAGCAAGATACTCTTAAAAAAATCCAACAAGGCCGGGCGCCATGGCTCACACCTGTAATCCCAGCACTTCGGGAGGCTGAGGTGGTCAGGAGCTCAAGACCAGCCTGGACAACATGGCGAAACCCCGCCTCTACTAACAATACAAAAATGAGCTGGGTGTGGCAGCGCAAATCTGTAGTCCCAGCTACTCAGGAGGCTGAGGCAGGAGCATGGCTTGAACCCAGGAGGCGGAGGTTGCAGTGAGTGGAGATCACGCCACTGCACTCCAGCCTGGGGGACAGAGCAAGACTCCATCTCAACAAACCAATCCAACAAACCAAACAAAAACCAAAACTCTCAAATCGTAGCTTTTGGTCATCATCAGTATGTTAAAAAACATCCCTGGGGCCAGGCACGGTGGCTTTTGGTCATCATCAGTATGTTATAAAACATCCCTGGGGCCGGGCACGCTGGCTCACACCTGAAATCCCAGCACTTTGTGAGGCCAAGGTGGGCCATCACTTGAGGCCAGGAGTTCAAGATATAACGGGTCATCTTCACAGATAATTTAGGTGGCCTTTCCTTCCCACATGCACACCCTCCTCTGTTGTTTCAGTTCTGTTCACTTTTGTTTCAAAGGTTACTAAATTTCCCACTTATCTTGTTTGTTGAATATTAACCATATTATAAACTCTCTTGGCCCCCAAATTTCTTTTTCTTTTTTGAGACAGAGTTTCGCTCGTCGCCCTGCCTGGAGTGCAACGGCGAGATGTCAGTTCACGGCAACCTCCGCCTTCCAGGTTCAAGCGATTCCCCCCGCCTCAGCCTCCCCAGTTGCTGAGACTACAGGCGTATGCCACCACACTCGGCTAATTTTGTATTTTTAGTAGAGACAGGGTTTCTCCATGTTGGTGAGGTTGGTCTTGAACTCCTGACCTCATGTGATCCGCCCGCCTCAGCCTCCCAAAGTGCTGGGATTACAGATGTGAGCCACCCCGCCTGGACCAAAATTTATCTTTCAACATTCTGTTCCTAATCTAATAAATAATAAATGTAAGCTTCAACTATGGTCCCCAATTAACCTACAAACCTTCGTTTCCAGGTACATTATCTCCTGAACTTCCAAATGAATTCTAAATCTGGCCATTCTGACCTTTTCAACTCATTAGGCCCAAGTTAAAAATGATTACTTTTTCTTACATTCAGGGTTACCTATCTAATCACCATCACATTCCCAGTTACTTGGGCTGATGACTGCAAATACTTTTAAGGTGTACATGCGTCTTTACATGCTTTCTCACTGAATCCTCACAGCAAGCCTACACGTTGGTTAAAAAGAAATGATCCGATAGCTGGGGGAGATTAAGTCAAATACTTTCCAGGACACCAGGCCTTTAACATCTGGCCCCAACCTAGCTTTCTAATCTCACCTCTTCCGCAAACATACTATTCTTCAACCCAAAAGAAATACTATACTCAATATACACTCGGGCAAGATCTCTAAACCTCTGTCCTGACTTTTCCTTCCAGAGTTTTCTATCTCAACTCGATTTCTCTTAATCTTAACTCTAAAAAGCAAACATTTCCTCCTCAATTTTATAGGTAAGAAATCTTTGGCACAGAGGTTACAGGTCACTAAGACATGAAGTAACGGAAGCAGAGAATGAAACTCTGGTCTGATTTCCAATGCGTGCCACACTCTTCTACAAAAAAACCAAATAATTGTTTCTTGATTTGGCTGTGTTTCACTGCACATGCAGAGACGACATCAACGTAACTTTCCGCAACTATTTCAAACAAGACACGTAAGTCGGTTCCTACATCCATCCCAGTACAATGAGCCTCGCCCCAATTTAGACGCGGAGTTCACCCAATTCGTCTCAACAGCTGTGTCAAGTGAAGTTTATTTAATACCTCTTTAAATAAGAATAAAAAAGCTGAAACATACTGTGCATTCTACCAGTTCCAATAAGCAGATAAGCGACAGCCCTTAAGCGTCAGACCCCTCGGGAAGACTGCACGCAATCCTCGGCATTTTGAACTGCTTTCCACTCCAATATGAATGATGCACAATGCAGGATGAAAAACTATGGGAGACTAAGACGCAAAATGGGGCAAGTTCAAAGGCCTCCATACTCCGGGTTGGCAATCATCGGCAGAAAAACAGGAGTAAGGATCCCTTCACTGGGCTGCTTCCACAGGGAGGACAAGAGGGGAACACCCGAAAGAACGTGAAAAGAGCCAAACCAGCTCAAGCCCACGGTGAGAGCGCAGAGCTCAGCCCCGCGGCCCCGCGGCCCCGCGGGTCAGGCCCTGAGAGTGATACCTTTGGCGGCGGAAATGTTGCTGAAGCGGATCTGGGCTGGCTTGTCGCGGTCCTGATAGGCGCCTTTTCCGCGGCCGCTGGCAGCCCCGGCAGGCGCCCCGCTCCGGGGTGCCACATTCTCAGGCATGGCAAAGTCGGCTGGGTCTGGGTGGGCTCGGAAAGGACGGATGGACCCGGATTCTGGCCGGCCGCAGAGTAATAACGGTAAGCCCTCACTGCCTTCACGAACCTTCCAGAAACCGGCGCCTGCGTCGGGAGGAGGCGGAGGCAGAGAAGGGGGCCTTCCTTGCGGCGCGGCGCTGACGTGACGTAGAAGGCTGTCCGGTGCGCGCCGGTTGACGTCGATGTGTGCGGGGAGCTCCGGACCGGCGAGGTTGTACGCATGGGGCGCTGTAGGTGAAGAGCGCCGGGGGTTTTTTACGCGAGGCAGCAATGACAACGCGCGATTTAAAAGGCGAGTGCTGAGGACATCCGCATTTCCTCACTCCACCTCGCACGACTGTGAGGTTCCCTCCTTTTTTTTTTTTTTGATAAACAGTCTCACTCTGTTACCCAGGCTGGATGGAGTGCAGTGGTGTGATTTCTGCTCATTGCAGCCTCCGCCTCCCGGGTTCAAGCGATTCTCCTGCCTCAGCCTCCCGAGTAGCTGGGATTACAGGCGCCCGCCACCACGCCCAGCTAATTTTTGTGTTTTTACAAAATACAAAAATTTTTTGGGGACGGGGTTTCACCATGTTGGCCAGGCCGGTCTCGAACTCCTGACCTTAGGTGATCCGCCCGCCTTGGCCTTCCAAAGTGCTGGGATTACAGGCGTGAGCCGAGAAGCCCGGCCTTTTTTTTTTTTTTTCGGACAGAGTCTCCGTCTGTCGCGCAGGCTGGAGTGCAGTGGGGCGATCTCGGCTCACTGCAACTTCGAGCTCCGGGGCTCAAGCGATCCTCCCGCCACAGCCTCCCAAGTAGCCGGGACGACAGGTGCCCGCCACCATGCCCAGCGAATTTTTGTATTTGTTGTAGAGACTGGGTTTCGCTATGTTGCCCAGGCTGGTCTCGACCTCCTGGGCTCAAAGCGGTCCACCCTTCTCAGCCTTCCAAAGTACTGGGATTACAGGTGTGAGCCACCGCGCCCAGTGGGAGGTCTCCTCCTTTAACTCCGGCTGGATCTATCTGCGCAGTGCGGTGGGCACCGGAATAACTCCCTGAGGGATGTAGCTGAGTCTGTTTTTGCCCGGCCACATAGACCTTCTTTTTATGCAGTTTTGCTTATTTTGAAAGGGAGTCAGAAAAGGGAGATTTGGAATGAGTGGAGGTTTTTCTTTGCTTTAAGTGTCGAGGTTGGTTATCTCGTAGTGGTTGGTACCGGGTGGTAGAGGTTTGACAGACTGCCAAATCAGGTCTGTCTAGTTATCACCACCCGCTTGTTCTACACTAGTGTCTCCTGCATAATATAGCCACTGACTCTTAGGGAGTGTAAACACTATAATAAAGATCATTTAATTCCGTTATCTGCTAAGCACAGTGCTGAACCTTTACAAGTTTTATCTCGTTTAGTCCTCACGATAATCCTTTACTTAAAAGGTTAGGGAACTGGAGCCCATAGAAGGAACTGAAGCCCAAGGTAAACCAGTCAGTAGATAGAAGCAGTATTCCAATACAAAGCAAGGACCAGAAGCCGTGAGCTAAACTGCTGGTCTCCTATGACCACTATATTTCAGTAAGGAAGTTACGAGATGAGGTTCGTTGAATGTTCGCTCACAATTATTAAGCGCCTGCAAAGTGACAGATGCATGTGGTAGGTTCAGAAACAAATGTTCAAAGGTACTTAATCTTGTAATCATGAGGTGTTGTTGTTTTGTTTGTTTTTGTTTGTTTTTTGAGACGGAGTTTTAGCACATTGCCCAGGCTGGAGTGCAGTGGTGCCATCTCGGCTCACCGCAACCTCCACCTCCCGGGTTTAAGCGATTCTCCTGCCTCAGCCTCCCGAGTAGCTGGGATTATGGGCATGCGACGCCACGCCCGGCTAATTTTGTATTTTTTAGTAGGGAATGGGGTTTCTCCATGTTGGTCAGGCTAGTCTCGAACTCCTGAACTCAGATGATAGGCCCACCTCGGCCTCCCAAAGTGCTGGGATTGCAGGCGTGAGCCACCTTGCCTCTCTGTGTTGTTTTCTTAACACACATTTAGCATATTAGCACTAGGGGCCTGGCTTGGTAGCTCACGCCTGTAATCCCAGCACTTTGGGAGGTGGAGGTGGGTGGATCACTATAAGTTAGGAGTTTAATACCAGCCTGGCCAACGTGGCGAAACTCCATCTCTACTAAAAATCAAAACATTAACCGGGGGTGTAATCCCAGCTACTCGGGAGGCTGAGGCAGGAGAATCCCTTGAAGCCAGGAAGTGGAGGTTGCAGTGAGCCGAGATCGGGCCACTGCACTCCAGCCTGGGCGACAGAGCAGGACTGTCTCAAAAAATAATAATTTAAAAAAAGGGATATTAGCACTAGGGAATGAAGATCCGTAAACCTCTGAAGCCGACTTCTCTTCAGAGGACCAGAATACTCCCAAGTAGCACATAGATTCTATGGTTATTTGTTTAGACAACTGATGTAATATATTGGAAACAAGTGGGTGATGATGCATTAATTTTGTGGTGTAAAATACTGGATTTGAGCATTAATAGCTCTGCTCCTTATTAGCTATGTGACCTAAGGAAGACCCCTTAAATCCTCTGGGTCTCATTTTCTTCATCTATAAAATAGGAGGGTTGAACTAGATGATCTCCAGGGGCTTACTAAACTCTACTAGTTCTGTCAGTGTAAGGAGTCGACCTGTCAGCCATAAAGAACAGAGCAGAATTTAGAAGATGTCATTATTGGCTTCTTGGGACAGTCTTAAAGTTTTGAGACATACTTTAAGTATCTGAAATGTTTCAAGTTATAAAGATTTTTCTTTTTTTGTGAAATTGAAATTGTTTTTGTTCCTGGGATTAGGCAATAAATAAATGTTAAACATCGGCTTTCATCAGAGTGTTAATGTACATTATTTCTCCATTAAAATGGGATTTCAACAAATATTAAAACATAAACATGGCCAGGTACAGTGACTCAGGCCTGTAATCCCAGCACTTTGGGAGGCCAAGGTGGGTGGATCACAGGAGTTCGAGACCAGTCTGGCCAAGATGGTGAAACCCTGCCTCTACTAAAAATACAAAAATTAGCACTAGTGTCTCCTGCATAATATAGCCACTGATAAGGAGTGGATGCCCGTCACCAACCTGGGCCGCTTGGTCAAGGACATGAAGATCAAGGCCCTGGAGGAGATCTACCTGTTCTCCCTGCCCATTAAGGAATCTGAGATCATTGACTTTTTCTTGGGGGCCTCTCTCAAAGACGAAGTTTTGAAGATTATGCCGGTGCAGAAGCAGACCCGTGCTGGCCAGCGCACCAGGTTCAAGGCGTTCGTTGCTATCGGGGACTACAATGGCCACGTCGGCCTGGGTGTTAAGTGCTCCAAGGAGGTGGCCACCGCCATCCGTGGGGCCATCATCCTGGTCAAACTCTCCATTGTCCCCGTGCGCAGAGGCTACTGGGGGAACAAGATCGGCAAGGCCCACACCGTCCCTTGCAAGGTGACAGGCTGCTGCGGCTCTGTGCTGGTGCACCTCATCCCTGCACCCAGGGGCACTGGCATCGTCTCAGAGCCTGTGCCCAAGAAGCTGCTCATGATGGCTCGTATCGATGACTGCTACACCTCAGCCCGGGGCTGCACTGCCACCCTGGGCAACTTTGCCAAGGCCACCTTTGATGCCGTCTCTAAGACCTACAGCTACCTGACCCCCGACCTCTGGAAGGAGACTGTATTCACCAACTCTCCCTATTAGGAATTCACTGACCACCTTGTCAAGACCCACACCAGAGTCTCCGTGCAGCGGACCCAGGCTCCAGCTGTGGCTACAACATAGGGTTTTTATACAGGAAAAATAAAGTGAATTAAGCCTGGAAAAGAAAAAATTAAATCTTAATCAAGTTCCTAGATCCAACTACCAATGAATGGGTTTACAAAAAATACAAGGATTTCTTGTATTCATGAATGTGAAATGTGATGTAAATGTGAACTAGAAACCTTTCAAGGAAAACTAAGAAAATCAAAATATACTTAATGAAACTAGGCCTCTGCTTCATTTTACTATTGCAAGCTAAACTTAAAAAAAATAGAATGATGCTATATATATATATTTTTTTTTAATTAAAAAAAATTTTTTTTTTGAGATGGAGTCTCACTCTGTAGCCCACGCGGGAGTGCAATGGCGTGATCTTGACTCATTGCAACCTCCACCTCCCAGGTTCAAGCAGTTCTCTGCCTCAGCCTCCCAAGTAACTGGGATTACAGGCATGTACCACCACGCCCAGCTAATTTTGCATTTTTAGTAGAGGCAGGGTTTCACCACGTTGGCCAGGCTGGTCTCAAACTCCTGACCTCAGGTGATCCACCTGCCTCCCAAAGTGTTGGGATTACAGGTGTAATCTACACCTGGTCTAGAAGAATATATTTTTAAAATAGTACCATGAGGATGCAATCAATAAGATGTAGAACGTGAAAAACTCTTTAGGACAAATGACCTATAAATAAATTGCAAGAAAATTAACAATAACAGCAATGAAGATGAAAGGGTAACCTGTGGAATAAGAGAGATTTAAGAAAGTGAGAGATTTAAGACAGCCAGGAGAGTGACATCAGCAAAATGGGAGACCAGGAGCTACCTCACTTGTATCTCCCCACAGCAACAATAGTTTTTAGCTTTTCACCTGTCCGCAGATAAAAGTACCTCTGTTGGGAACTTTGGGAACTAGATAGGAGACTGTGAAACCCTTGTGGAGCCCAAGATCCAGGCGCTGTTTTGAGACAGCAGAACTGCACCCAGGTAGCAGACTCATTGATCGAGGTTGCAGCTCCAGTCTTGGAATGGTGCTATCCTGTGGCTTGGCTACAACCCTCTTGGCCTTGGTCCTGCTACTACCATCTTACTTAGGAGCCTGGAGGAATCATAACTACTTTGTGTCGGTGACGGCCACCAACATCAGTTTCATACAGACCCTGAAACAACCTGTAAGTCTCAGCTCCAGCCCTCCTCACTGTGGTCTGAGGAGCAATCCTGCCCCTGAAGAGACGCGGGGTGACATGACTATCCATGCCCCCAGGAGCAGGCCTGCAGATTTCACTCTTCCCTGTGGACCCTGAAGCAGCCTAGTGACTTGGTTCCAGCCCTCCTTAACTACTGTTAGGGCCAGTTACGCTGCCCAAGGGCCACCCGTGACCTAGCAGGAAGCTTACCAGGAAACTGGAGGAAGCCACGCCAGTTATGCATCTGGTAATAGCCCATTGTCGCAGACCACCATCCCAACACCAGCCCTACTGACCAAGGTCCTGGGGGCAGTCCAGCTCACCCCATGGACCAGCAGGACCCACCCCATTAGAGCCTGGTAACAAGCTTGCCAACCTTGCCAACTGTGG